AAAAAAAAAAAAAAAAATTGTTTCAGGCAAGTGTCTTCAATAGATGCTACAGTTAGTGGGTAAAAGTATGACTGTGGAACAAGATATTTACATAGTCCCAAAGCATTTCTTCACAAGATACTTATTAAATACAAAAGGAAAAATAGTAACTTGATATGGAGAAAACTTGCAGCCACCACCTCAACCAAGTGATCAAAATTAACATCACCAGTAGTGGGACAAACTGACTTCTTGTGACTCCTGATATACCAAGAAGGACACAACATCACTTCTGCTTCACATTCATGGGGGAAAAAAAGACCAATGAACTCAGATTAAAAGAGACTAAGAAGACATGACAACAAATGCAGCATATGAGCCTAGACTGAATACTGTCCAGACATAGGACATTAGTGAGACAATTGGCAAAATCTGAATGAGGTCTGCAGATGAGACATTAATATTAATATTCTGACTTTGATCATTGTACTGTGGTTATATAAGATGTTAATATTTAGAATATCTGGGTAAAGAATATATAGGAATTCTCTACATTTTTCCAGCTGTTTTGTAAGTGAAATTATTTCAAATGGAAAAGACAAAATTTAAATGAATCAATTAAAAACCATTAAACCATACAGGGAGTAGGCAGATGGAGCTAAAATTGTACAAGTGGTATACAAATGACTGAAGTTTGGGAAACAGTATACTACAGCAGTGCTTCTCAAATTTTAATGTGCACATCAATCACTTGTTAAAATGCAGATTCTGATTTAGTAGGTCTGGGGTAGGGCCTGGGCACTGCATTTCCAACAGGCTCCTTAGTGATACCAACGCTGCTGGTCTGAGGACCACATTGAGTAGCAAGGCCCAAGACCACACTGTCCTTCCAAGATATTACAGGTTTGCTATCTATACTCCAAAGATACACAGTTGCTTGTAACTGTTAGTAGCTAAGCCTAGAATGCTCTACTCACACCTACCCTGGCTATTTCCTTTCACGAGGGCATTAGTAGTTAAAAAGACCTGGGTTTGAATACCAGCTCTGCCATTCACCAGCTGGGTGGCCTTGAACAAGGTACTTAACCTCTCTAGGATTCAGTTTCTTCATCTGTAAAATAAGTTAATGTGACAACCAAGAGAATGGTCCCGAGTAGTATTTAGTCAATAACTGGAATTTAGACACACAGTGATTATTTATCAAACTTGTAGAAGACAATGCTCAAAATACATTAAATGACAGAATAAGGAATTGTAAATATTTTGATAGGCTACAATTATAGCATTAACCAACAAGATGAAATAGAAGAGGTACAAAAGGAAAGTTCTGCATTTAGATTTTTAAAAAGTAAACAAGACATAAATGGATAATCCAATTAACAGCATTGATGAAAATAAGAACTGAAGATTTTAGACATGAAGCTCCCAGCAAGTCAACAATGTGAATCCTTGCCCCCCACGCCCCAAAAAAGTAATGTAAACTTAAGGTGAACTAATAAAAGTGTAACGTGCATGTGAGGAAAAAAATGCTATTTGGTCCACTATACCCTCACATCTGAAAGGCCTGTGTTTAGTTCTTGGCTGAATAACATAAAGCACAATTGCAAAATAACCAAAGTAGGGCACATGAGAAATGGCTGAAGGTAGTTGAGAAAAATAGATGTAAGAGATATATTACAGTTGCAGGTACTGGCTATTAGTGAAGCAGGTCAAATGGTGGAAAGTGTCTAGAAGAGGCAGCTGCTCCTCAGCTCTAGCCAGTTGTTGACTTGGAAGAATGAGACCTGGGGTTACCAGATCTTCCAGATTTTAAAGACAGCTAGAAATCCGGATTGTTATATGAAACTTTCCAATCTTTAAATGTTGGCAACTATTAAAAAAACAAAAACTTCGTGCAGACTGAATGAAATGCCCACTGGGGTTAATTTGCAACCTCTCTTGAATTTAAATATCTGCAAGGCCATTGCTTTAAGAGGGCATAGACTGGTTCTGGATTAATTCAGGGACAAAACTAGGAATGTGGCTTGAAGCTATAATATAAGGAAGAATTTTCTAGCATATAGCTAACAATAGAATTGGCTGTTCCTGAACAGAGCAATATATGCTCACTGGAAACCTCCAGCCAGAGTGTAGATGACCATCTCAGCAATGTGCGGGTGAAACTGATCTTGATGGTGTCTTTAGATTTAGTGTCCAACACTAAGTCTCTAGGTCTACATACATATAACATGTTGCAATCTAATAAAAAAGTCTCTTCTCTGGATTATTAAATGAATAAGTGGTTGTTTATAAAGGGCCAGTAAGGGTGCAAAGGGTCCTGCAGGCAGCAAGAGGATGTGGGCTTCGTTAATCAGTTGTTTTCTTAGACACAGATTAGACAAGTGACTTGGATAAAGTACAAACTTGAAACATCTTCCTCTCCAACTTACTGTTTGTTTAGGGAAAAAAAGACAAAAAGTTTCACTATTGCTTTTTAACTACCTGGTTAAGACAAAGCAGAAATATGAGTTCAAAGTTTATTTTTTACCATTAAAAAGGAATAGGTTTGTGATTATAACATGCTTCTTTCAATTTAGTAAGCCTTAAAATGACATCTGTTGCACAACCCAAGTGCTAAATATACATATATATATTTTTTTTTAAATAAGCACAGTGCTTGGCGCATAGGCGGCCCTATAAAAAGACAGCAGCTATTAAGACTCAGGTAAGGTTACCTCCTCCGGAAACCTTCCTTAGAAGTACCCCTTTCTATGTTCTTTAATTTTCAGCCTATGGCTATGTCGTTGCATTTATAGATTGTGGGTTCCTTGGGATCAGAAATCCAGTGAGATGGGGTACAAGGTAAGGTCAGACAGTTCAGGGCCAGAATATACAGGGCTTTAGCTCAAGAAAAGAGACTGTATTTGATTCTACATACAATGGGAAGCTACTGAAAGGTGCCAAGCAAGAAACTGACATGTTGCGATTTACATTTTTAAGAGATCAAGTTGGTTTCTGAAAATTATTTTGCTTTGTTTGGCTTGGCAGGGGCAGGGGGGTAAGAGTGGAAGCAGGGATAACCCATGAGTAGATTACTGCAATAATCCAAGTTAGAGATGAATGTGTCTTGTATTAAGGTGGTGGCAACTAAAAGAAGTGGAGAGATTCAAAATATATTTTTTCCAATGTGAAACTAAGAAGTCTGTTGAATACAGTGTTTTGGAGTATAATAAAGTATATACATATTTAGGACTATAAAATTAAACTTACTTTAGATACTTGGCATATTCTGGTTCTTTCCAGTAAAGCAAGTACTTAAGGTAATTAACAAAAGCTTTGTCTTTGAAGTAACCTCTTTGGGCAAGAACTGAAAGGCATAAGAAAAAAAACACATCTGTAGAGCAAACCAATCCTTGAACTACTGATTTGTAACTCCTAACATAAAGAATTTACTTATATAACATTCCCACCACCAACAGATACTGAATTCAAAACACAAGTCACAGTTTGCTCAATTATATATATACCAGTACAAGTGTAGCATTAATTATGTTCAATTGAGAACCTATAAAAGTAGTTACTATCATGAATTGCAACTCTTCTGTCAGAAATCATTAATAGCTACTTAATTCAATGAGGTGCTCAACAACTTACAATTAAGGTAATTTGGGTTGGCTAAACACTGCACAAATTCCAACTCCAACTGAAACCGAAGTCGATTTCCAGCATCATCTAGGAGAAAAGATAGCAAAAATTATCCAACATAAAGGTCACTCTATATAATATTGATTTGTAGAAAGAAAACAGCAGTAAAGAAAAACACGACTAATGCTGAGATTCATTTCTGAATAGAGAAGGGCATGTGATGGTTTTCCTACACTGAGTGTGGGAGGAGATAAACCTTCCTTAGAAGTCTAAGAAAAGCAAAGCCCTGATTAAAAGGAGTAAGTTAGAAGTTTCTCTCAAGTTAAAGAGACGTCATCAAAGAAAATAGGAACTCACACGGGGCAGAATATTTATCACCTGTGAGCCACTACGTAGGGATTTTTAACAGTGACCACTGGGGTACGTTGTAATAACTGTGCCTTCCCCCATTTCAGTAATGCATTACAACAACTTGTTAAGTAATTAAGTTAAGCAAAGCTAGGTGAATGCTAAATCAAGAAAACATTTAGAAAGCAAGCTGAAAAGGAAAGTACGCAAGATCAAGGAGTGTGTCGCATGTGAGAAGCGTCAGTGGCAGAATAACACACAACTTTGTCCACGATATTTCAAACTTCTGCAAGCTCATTTGAGAGGCAGAAACAAATCGAGGAACGGTTTAAGACCGAAGTCCTCTCCCTTAGTCTCGCCGACGCCGGGAAGCCACTGTGGTCGGTGTTTGAACAACAGGTGGGGAAAAAGGATCTCCGAACAAACCAACTCAGAAAAGGCCAAACTACCTCCCAGCTTCCCCCTCCCGGTCCGAACTCCATCCCTGCCGGGAGTCAGGCCTGGAAGGAGCCGCCGGGGAAGCGAGAAGAGGGGTCTGGGCCCGCGACAGTCCTATTTGCGAAGACCCGCGACTCCGAGCGCCGCTTACCTGTCTCCATAGCGACGGCCGCAGCCATCACAAGCTAACACGCTAAGTCGCCACCAGCCGGACACAGCAGCCCCGCGTAGCGCTGGGGCAGGTTCCGGAAGCCGCGGCTCCCCTTCCTGTCGCGGAGCACTGTGGGATGTGGGGGCGGGGACAGCCTCGCGCCGGGGCCGGAGGCTCCGCCCATCCAGGCCCGTCCCGGCCCCGCCCGCGCAGGCTCCAAAAAGGCGAGGGGGCTGTGCGGGGGCCGAGGGAGCGCCGCAGGGGCCCGGCCTAGGATTTTGAAGGGATAGTCCAGGCCCCACAGGCCCACGTGCCCTCCACGTTCTCGTGTCGTGACCCTCTCGTCCACCCCTGTGCCTGCGGTGGCGTAACACGTCATTGTGATGTCATTCCTTACCCTGTGACGTAACCCAGAGGCGTGACTGTTGGGGACCGCTGGGCTGCGGGGCCTCAGGCCTCCTTGGGCCCGTTACACTCGCGGAATGGCCGCACCCGATCGGGGAAAGCCCTCTTCGCCCCGGGTGGAGACCGCCCGCTACCAGGAGACGTCGACGGTCCGCGTGGAGACCTCGTCCCACCGCGTGGAGACCTCCTCGCGGCAGGTGCGGACGTCTTCCCGGCAGGTGGAGACCTCCCTGCGCCACAGCGAGCGGCCCTCCCCCTCCTCCGCCTCCCCTGGGAAGCGGCTCCCGCGCCTCCTCGAGGTGTCCTCCCAGCACGTGGAGACCTCCTCGCAGCGCACGGAAACGTCCTCCCGCCACGTCAGGGCCTCGTCCCTGCGAGTGGAGACGTCTCTGCACCGCGTGGAGAGCCCGCTCCGGCGGGACAGGCCGGCCGCCCGCCAGAATGTAAAAATGGCCCCATGAAACACTTCCCAGAGGCCACGAAAGGGCCGTGGCCCGTAGCCAGGACAGAATTGCCTCCAGTGTGCAGCCAGCCGGCTGCCAAGTGGACCAGTCATCTTTGGTGTCATAGAAACAGCCCATGAATCAGTGTCAGAAAGAGCCAAGCTGCGGTTTCGGGACTCAGCTAGCACTTATTGACCGTGCTGCACCTTGGACCACACTGCCTTTCACCCAGTGAACTATTTTAACTTGAAGCCAGCACAAAAAGTTTTCAGGCCCATGATACTATATTAAAGTGGGTTGATGGACAAAGAGGCTGTTTCAACCTCTGAGCCAGGTGAGTTTTGGATTCATAGTCCGTGAATGACGACCTTCACTGCTTCAGACTTAGAGACAGAGGGCAAACTGAAATCATGACCAGTGGAATGATTATATGCCTGCTAAAAATCTGAAAACAGACTTTCATTCATGCATTAATTCATTGGCCTTTGTTTATGTTTCACAATAATCGGTTATCTTCCTTTGCTAAGCCCTTGTATATGGTACCCCCCCACACACACTTTTTAACATAGGCCAAATTTAGTTAAAAATGAAAATTGAAGGTAAACAACAACATCAACAGTCAAGCATAATCTTAGAAGGGAAACCTGACCTGAGGTTTAAGAAGGTGGAGGGAAGGAGTATTTATTGAGAACCCACTCCGTGCCAGGTGTTATTCTAGCACTTGAGCTATAGCAGTGAACCAGGCAGGAGACAGGGTCCTGGCCCTCAAAGAGCTTATGCTCTGATGAAGAGGCAGACAGCAAATGACAGAAAAAGACCGTTTGCTATTGTGATTAGCACTATGAAGGAAATAAATGGGTAGTGTGATAGAGAATGGAGGTAAGGGGGTTCTTTAGATAAGATGGTCAGGGAGGGCCTTGCTGATTAGGCAACATTTGATCTCAGATTTGTATGGATGAAAAGTGAGCCGTGCAAAGATCTGGGGAGACTGCATTCTAGGCAGAGGGAACAGCAAGTGCCAAGGGGGGATGGGAGCAAGCTTGGAATGTTCAACGAACAGAAAGACCCGTGTGGCTGGAGCTTAGTGAGGGAGAGGATGGTATGGAAGGGAAGATGTTAGAGAAGTAGACAGGGGCCAATTCATAGAGGTCTTGTAAGCTACAGTAGGTTTTATTCTAAGGTCAATGGGAAGACATTGGAGGGTTTTCAGCAGAGGAGTGACATGATGCAATTTACATTTTTAAAATATCCTGGCTTCTGAGTGTAGGATATAGGATAGTTCTTGACTGGGGGTGATTTTGTCCCTTAGGGGACATTTAGCAATATCTAGAGACATTTTGGTTGTCACAATTTGTGGAGGGGTGGTGCTACTGGCATCTAGTGTGTAGAGACCAGGGATGATGCTAAACATTCTACAGTGTACAAGACAGCTCCCCTCCTCCAAACAAAGGGGCCTAAGTTTGGACTAACATACTAACAGACTTAGTCCAAAATGTCAATAGTGTGAGGTTGAGAAACGCTGATGTAGGAAATGGGAACTACTTAGGCAGCTAATGCCGTGGTCCAGTAAGAGGAAAGTGGCTCACACTAGGGTGGAAGAAGTGGAGCTGAAGAAGAGAGGGCAGATTAGGGATGTGTTTTGGAGGCAGGGCTGACATGACTGGTGGATACGACGGTGAGGGGAAGAGGAATAGAAGAATCAAGGGTGACTTGACTTGGGCAGTTTGGTGTATGGTAGTGCCATTTACTGGGATGAGAAATACCAGGGAAAGATCAGGTTTAGGAGGGAAAATCAGTTCAGTGTTGGCCATGTTGAGTTTGGGATGCCTATAAAATACCCAAGTGGAGACACTGAGTGGTGGTTGAATGCAAGAGGTTGGCTACCATGAGAGAGGTGAGGATTGAAAATGTAAAATGTGGGGTCGTCAGTACATAGATGGTATTTAAAGCCATGGGACTGAGTGACAGTCATCTGCCGGTCTGTCTTGCTCATTTTATGAATGAATTTGAGATCTTGTTCTTCAGGGAGCACCAGCTGGCTGAACACCTCATCCCTCTCTTTCACCCCACAGGGCCTGGATTGACCTACCTAATTTTGCCTTGCCTATAGTCCTTTGGCAGCCACCAATAAGGGAGAAAGTTTGAACTAAAATGTCAGACAAATGCTTTAGAAAATGTGCCTTTCACAGGCAACATTACTTTGCTCCTGGGAAGAAGGTCTTAAAACAAAGATTTAAAAGTTCATGTTTTTTGGGGAGTTTTTTTAGGGAGGCATGCATGGATATTAATGTGTAGTCCTAGTCCTGGGTTCTCCTGGGATGACTGAAGAACCACTGAATTATCTGTAATAGTGGTTCTCAACTGGGGGCAGTTTTGCCCCACGGGTAACACTTGGCAATGTCTGGTGATGTTTTTGTCACAACTGTGGGGGTTGGATACTACTGGTATCTAATGGGTAGAGGCCAGGGATGCCATTAAACATCTTAAAATGCACAGGTCATCCCCACACCCCACCTCCGACAACAAAGAATCATTTGGCCCAATGTCATTTGGCCCAATCATTTGGCCCAAATGTCAATAGTCCCAAGGCTGAAAAACCCTGAAGTTTCTGGCAACTTAGAAAGTTAGAGTGGTCCTTTGGGGGAAGCACCCCACTTCGTAGCAGGGTTTGCTAGGGGAAAGGGTTAGAAGCAGTGTCCTCTGTCAGATGTCAGGGCAGGAGCTCTCAGAGGAGAGGGATGTGTTGCTTTTTGAGGAGACCTTACATTCCTGCTTTCAATAGTTTATGTGATATTTGTCGGAGGAGGAAAGGAGGTCCCATTTAGCAGAATGTGAATGACCTTGATTCTGAGGGACCTCATGGAGAGGTAGAGTACTTGCTATTGCCAGGCGCTGTGCTGAGTCATTACCCACTTGCTTCGTTTAATGACAGGGGAGTGCGCTGGGCTGCCCAGTAGAATAGGGGCTCAGGCCAGGGGACTGTTCTAAAGCCCCAGAGTCTGCCCTCATGCTTCTGCCTCATAAAACTTCTGCTATAGACTAATAATTAGACTTTGGAATTTTAGTCTTTGGTGAGCTTACTAATTTTTTTTAACGTGACAGACCATGTGCATTATATATGAACACTCTTAATCAGTGTTTTTTTTGTTGTTTTTTTTTGTGAGGAGATCAGCCCTGTGCTAACATCCGCCAATCCTCCTCTTTTTTTTGCTGAGGAAGACGGCCCTGGGCTAACATCTGTGCCCATCTTCCTCCACTTTATATGGGACACCGCCACAGCATGGCTTGCCAAGCAGTGTGTCGGTGCGCGCCCGGGATCCGAACCAGCGAACCCCGGGCCGCCGCAGCGGAGCGCGCGCACTTAACCGCTTGCGCCACCGGGCCGGCCCCTTAATCAGTGTTTTTTAAATGAACAAAGTAGTCGCTTTTCTTCAACAATGTTCCATGTTAATGTTTTTATTACAAAAGTGATATGTGCTTAAGTAACAAATGAAATAATTCAAGGATGTGTAAAGAAAAATTTAATAATTTGTCATCATTGCCATTTCCATCCTCTGGAAATAGTTAATGTCAGCAACCTGGTATGTATCCTTCCAGACTTTTCTGCATTAACTGCTTCTAACCCCCTTGTTAGTAGTACCTAGAAGACTGGTGGGAAGATTACTGTGAAAAAGCCAAAGACTTGGTTTCTAGATGATTGGGTCTCTTGGAAGGATACAGGATTCTGGTGGCTTCTTTCCTTTTGTTATACTTGTTTGATAAGAGTTTTACCTAGGTTTCTTCCTCCCAATTTCCTTATCCATGTTTCAAAGCTGAAAGCCAAAGAGGTGTACACAGGGCAAGAAAGTGTCAAAAATGACAAGACGTGAAGGAAAGGGATGTGACAAGATATTTGTTGTATATACTGTTTTCTACATCAGTTTCCACAGCTTTAAAATGATCCTGTATGTTAAAGAAACTTACATCTGTCATAATTTTTAATGTACGTGCTGCTTATTATAAGTGTGTGCTACCCATGCTGTGTGTCATCATCCTCCCCACATTGTCCGCTCTTGGAAGCTCCAAAGGAGCACGGGTGCTTTTGTGTCTGTGACATGGTACATAATGCTGGGCCCAGTATGTGCACAATAAGGAGCTAAGAGCAATGCTGACCGTCCATTCCCAGCCAAGAAAGCCTTTAACGGCTCCATCTACTAATCCCATAGATTTATTGAGCTAGTTAATAGCTGTGAGTTGCCTTCAGTTGTTGCCAACCAGGTTAGTTTGAAAAACTAAATAAGTACAAGTCAGCACCTGTCGTTCTCCTCACAATCCATTCATTTATATATAAACTGAGAGCAGCTTACAAAATTCAGCATATGTATTTGCTGTCAGTTGTGTTGAAAATACTTGAAATGGAAGAATGCCATTAATAGAATACTCTTTCCCCAGATCACATGAGCCATGGGAAGAATCAAGAGCCTAGCCAGCGAGGTATGTGGCTCAAGTCCTCATCTAGATCTCCCAGGGATCCAGATAACTGCTCCATTCTTGCTGTTGCTCCTATCCCAGTATGGCTAGTACAAGTACCAAGCCCTGGGTACTTGACCCAGCCTCTGGGGGGTTCCTCCTGTTTTATGGGTTCCACATGCTATTAGGCTAGAGAAAGAGTTCACTGTTTGAAAACTTTTTTTTTTTCAAAACAGTTGATCTTCATGGTACAAATGGAAAAACTGAAGTCCATAGAAGCCAAAAGTAATTTGACCAGGAGCAGAGGTTCTGGCGACCATTATTCACTGCCTCCCGGGATGGTTTCTTTGATGACCAAATAAAGGTAGGTATAGTGAGTGTCCTTAAGTTTAATTTACAGTGAGCATAGTGGATAATACCAAAAATAGAAAAGGAAGACAGACAGAAGTAACAAACATTTATATGGAATTCCACAGAGCACTCTCATTCCTATGAGACTCCAAAAACACATCGTTACTATTTTGAAGCTCTGTTATTAGGTGTATAAACATTTAGCATCAGCATGTCTTTTTGATAAATTGACCCCTTTGTCATTATGAAATGACCTTCTTTATCCCTGGTAATATTATTTGCTCTGAAAT